TTAATCCGGCTGATCTCCGCCGTCTGCCAGCTGTGGTTTTGGAAGCAGGTGTTCCCACTTGATTCTATGGCTTCAGGAGGTTGGACAGGCTCCCCTGCCATGATGGCAATGTTAGACAAAATATTTGGCAGGTCTCATCCCTAGCACAGCATGGGGAGTAGTACCCTGTGTGTCCCCCTGTCTGAGTTAATGGGGTCAGTCTACAGCTGGAGAACTGGCAAGCCTGGAAGTCAGTCCCTGTAAGCTTATCGCCAAGGGATGGGTGACAGTGAGAAGGAGGCAGCCCCTGTGCCCAGTGTTTTCACATGGCAGCCCCAGGCTCACTCTGAGCCCCTCAGGAAAGTTTGTTATCCTGCAGAGATCAGAGAAGTAGAGGAGAGGGAGGCAAGTGTAGAGCAAGAGGAGGAGGATGCCTTCTTGGTTTCTGCAGTTTCAGAGAGCTATGGACACTTAACCTAAACTTTTTTGTGAATGGGAGGCTTGCACCAGTTGTCCCACTTTTCACAGATTCACACAATGACATGGGCTGGAAGAGACCTTACTGCCCATCCAGTTCCAACCCCTGCCATCAGCTGGTTGCCTCCTGCCAGCTCAGGCTGCTCAGGGCCCATCCAGCCTTGCCTTGAACACCTCAGGGATGGGGCATCCACAATTCTTTGGGCAACCTGTGCCAGGGCTGCACCACTCCCTGGACTACAGGCTTTTATAAGTCTCTCCAACTGACATGTTTGATTTTACATGGGGAAAGCTTCTTTCTCCTTCATTAGCCCTTTCAGCATCTGCCCTGGCATGTTATCTGCCTCCAGCTGAGGAAGGAGACCACCATCAGCCTGGCAAAAGGTTTGGATACACAGAGGCCCGTGAGGGTGGGCAGGATGCCCTGTTAGCAGTTTGCACTTTCAACCAACTGCAGCAGTCATAGAATATGGAAGGACCCATAAGGATCACAGAGTCCAACTCCCAGACTTGAAATGGCCCTAAGTAGATGGCCCTACATAATGTTGCAGCTATTCCTCAAGCACAGGAGAGCCACTTGCATCAGCTCCAGCTGCTAGAATTGATCCAGGAATTTCCCTACACCTGATTCTATGGCTGCCACAGCCCTACAGCAGAGGTATGTGGGGATCCTGGCTGCCACCTGCACTCTGCTGCCCACACCCTGTGCTGTCCCCAGTAGCTCACAATGCATCTCTGACCTCTCAGGGCTTTTTCCCTTATCTAGCAGAGTTGTTTCTATGGCAACAGAGACGGTTTGCATTTTTAAATGCTTCCACGAGGACATCCATTAGAGAGCATGATAACTGGGAGAACAGAGGGATGCGACAGCACCCTGCCCATGTGGGGCTGAACAATGGCTTCAGCACAGGGCAAGCAGCTCTGCAGCAAGCCCAGGTGTCCATCATTCAGAGCAAAGCTGGAGTATGAGTGCCTCTTTTCGTGTCACAGAATCACAGAATCACAGAATGGCCAGGGTTGGAAATGACCCCAAGTGAATCTCCAACCCCCTGCCACATGCAGTGTCCTTTCTGCAGAGAGCCCTGCTTGCACATGGAAAGAAGATCCAGAGAGGAAAGCTGCATTGCTGGCAGCTTATCACAGTCGGAGTTAAAAACAACCAGTTTCAAGCTTTTGGTTGATTTTTTTTTTTTTTCTTTTTCTTTCCAGAAGATACTAAAATTGAATCCTCTGTTCTCATTTAAATGGACAAGGACATTCAGGCAGCATTCGCCAAGTTTCCTTCCCAAAAGAGTCTCAGAGAAAGTCCTGTAAGGGATAATTAACCGGCTAACTAACAGGCAGGAAGCAAGGATAAAAATAAGTGGAATATTTCCAGCATGGAAGACGATTATCTGCAAGATCTATTCTTGTGATGGCACCATCCATTACACAGTTATTCACAGGAGGACTATCCAAGCGTTGTGTTTGGATGCCTGGCTGCTGCCACAGAAGGCAGCCCCAAAATCCAATGCACCTTCTGCTGGGGGTGGGCTTGTCCTAGCTGCTGCTTGCCTGGGGACATCTGGAATGCTCTAGGAGGTGGCTTCTAGAAACAGGCTCTGCGAGCATCTACCCAGCAGGACAGAAAACGAAGCTGTTGCTATGGAATTCCAGCGTTTGAGTTTTCAGGGAGGCTCTGTGCTTTAGGAAAGGGAGGATCCAATTCACAGAAGATATGTGGCCAGAGGCTATAGAGAAAAGCAACATGGATTTCAAGCAGCTCCTACTAGCAAAGAACACCTGGAGCAGAGCAGCGAGTTTGGAAGGTTGGTCACATTAATAACACATCTGCAAAGCACAGGCACCAGCATGCCCCTGTGACAACTGCCTGCATAGCCTTTGGCTTTGCATCATCTGTTTCCATCCAAAGAAACCACACAGGAACTGAATTATGGATTCTTAATGATGGATGGCAAGGGTGGGGCAAGGGGTAGAAGGGATGGGCCCTCCCTGCTTTGCCCTCCCAGCTCTGAACAAGGAACCCACCATCTGTTGGGAGACAAAGGGTTATGTTTGTGCTGACTGCAACCTGATCTCTCCCGAGAAACAAAACTCACTCCATCATCTGCAAGACAGAGGTGGCAGTGAAGGTCTCCCTTCCTCCACTGAGCACAGGACAGAAAGCTCGAGGGAAAACATATTGATGGAGATCTCAGCTGTGTGAAATGCATGCTCAGGTGGGACAGGGAACTCAGACAGCACCCCAACCTGTATGGGGGATCAATGGGGCTCTGAGCTGTAGGAATACTGAGGAATACTGCATTCTGTGCCTCATCCTGGCAAGGAAACACTCCTTTGGGCATTGCTTGGATCATCACTACGGTCTGTCTGGGACTGTCGCCCAAAAACCTGGCACTGCAATTATGTCCAGATTTCACAAAGATCTGAGCATGGACATGACCAAAGCCATCCCTGCTGCCCCACCAACAAGCCTTGGGAGAAGATCTCACTTTTGCTGCATGCCACTGGCAGGGCTGACCTCCTGTGACCTCAGCTACCAGACTTGTTTGGCATTCCTTCTTCCTCCCTTCTGTTTGTTTAGTTGGTGTAGTGCTTGCTTATATGCACAGAAATCACCTGGAGTCAGGATGTGATGCAAAAGAAACAACCCCTAGCACCCACAACAAATTATATCAGTATCACTTATATCAACATCAATAAAAAAACAGGGAAAGATAAACTGATTGGTGTGGTCTTGAATAAATCATAGAACCACAGAATATCTCAAGTTGGAAGGGACCCATCAGGATCATTGAGTCCAGCTCCTGGTTCCACACAGCACCATCCTAAAATCAAACTGCATGCCTGAGAGCATTTTCTTCCATAATCACAGAATCACAGAATTGTAGGGGTTGGAAGGGACCTCCAGAGATCATCGAGTCCAACCCCCCTGCCAAAGCAGGATCCCTACAGAATAGACTCCCCACTCCTGTATGGGAATCAGAAAACTCAACAGTGCACTGCTGACAGGAGAAAAGTCAGGGATGACCAGGGAATAAATGCTACAATATCCAGTAGCCTGAACAGGCATATTTTTGTGCTCTTCAGGTGATATTCAGATGTCCCTTCAGATGAGCAGACAGATCGTCTGCTCTTTCTTTCCACCATATACAGCATGTACTGGCAGCACAATTTACACTTGCAGTGTTCTGCCCTACGCCTTTGAAGAGCCTTGCCAATCCACAGCACAGAAGGACATAAACATGCAGACACAAGGACACCTCATGCTCTAGCCACCAAACTGCTTATTGCAGTTCTCTCTTGGCTTTAACCATACCTCACTGGGGACAATTTAAGAGAGAAAACTTGCCCAATATATCTCCAGCTGGGTCTCCCCTGCAGTTTGCTTGGGGGCTCCCCTATAATTACCAATACCACTAATGAATAGGTCAACAGCACAGAAAGCCACTGGGTCCTACCAGAAAGGTTGTTTTTTTGCTGGCAAACCCTGCTAGACTGTGCCTGGCTGCTGTCAGAAATGCATTTTCTTTGTGGTGATGCCACCAGAAATCCCAGAGCCATCTCTCCCCTCAGGTCCCTGCTCTGTCACCCTGGGTTTGGATTAAGAAGCTGGTGGGTTTCCTGCTCCCATGGCTTCAGGGCAGAGGAGATACCCAGGGACTGTGAAAACAGAAAGGACAGCACAGCGCCTTGGTGAGATCACAGCCGAGCTGTGATGTGTTGAATTGAAGCCCTGCCTTAGGTGTGACAGCAGACTAGATGACAAGCAAAGGCCAAAGAAGAAGAGCACGCTGAATGGACTATTAGCAACGCTAGGTTTTGGTTAAGGAAGAGACCTGGCAGGGGGAAAAGAAATCTTCCTCACCAGTGAAATCCCACTTAACGCCGATAAGTGAAATCCTTCACAAAGCCCTGAAAATTCCCACCCTGCAAACTGGTGCCCCACTCTGCTGCAAAGCTCCACATCTTCCCTCCACCCACCCACCAGCTGTCTCCCTGCTACAGATACATCCTTCCTCACGCCTGCAGCACAGAACGAATGTGCTTCTTGCAAAAGAGCTTCCCCCAAACACCTTTCTCATTTCAAGCTAAGAAATGATCTCTGAGGATCAACCACTTGCAAAGCTTACTCCTTCCCTGACCTTTAGTCCTCCGGGCTCCTATTTTTTCTCATTCCCTGAGCAGACTGCATGGAGATGTAACTGAGCAAGCTAAGTTTCTGTACCCGTTGGTGCCCCTCATGCCAGTGGGGTTAGTGGAAGTGCAGGGGTTAAGCTTGTGTAGCTAGTGGGAGCACTGGGCACAAAATTACTCATTAAATGAAGCAGAATACCCTTACATTTTCTTTCTTGGTGCTGCCCAGCCTTGCTAGGTGACTGTATGCCATGTATGACTGTGCAATTGGCATCAAGCTGCCACCTACCAGCCTGGTGAGCACTACCCCACTCACTGGGCTTAAAACTCCTGCAGGGAATTTCATTTGGAAATAAATGCAATCTGGGATTGCTGCCTTTATCTCACCTCAGGTTTTACTATCTTACCCACGTCTGCATTAACTCTGTCAACGTTTAGGCTCATCAGATGCAGATCTTCAAGACTCGGATCCAAACGGGATCCTGGTCTCAAAATTCCCTATCTGTGACCTCACAAAAGAGCAGCGTGTGCATAACGAGTGCACAATCACAGAATGATTGCAGGCAGGGTGGTCTGCAGGGCGATGCTGGAGCAGTCTGTTTCTCCCATAAGCCTTAAAAACAGCAGTGTCAAACACCAATGAGAGCTAGGATTAGTGAAAGAGCAGCTGCTTAACATCAGGTGCAGCATCCTTCAGCTGGGACACTGACAGGGGGAAAAATGTCAGAAAGGAGACGACTGAGCTTTACCTCAATGGGTTCTTTCTATCAGTGTCATGAGAACCTACTGAGGAGCTCGGGGCCAAAAAATAGCAGAGGACCCACCTCTGCCTGGGCCATCTCCATGGCACAGATGCATTGATTCCATGCTTTCCCAATGTTGGGATCTGCAGTGCTGATCCTGAGATCCTGCCTAAATCCTGGAACATGCCTCTACCATTATCTTTAGCAAGGATGAGTCAAAGACAATCTCTTCGTGTTAGGTATTTCTCTGGGAGGTCTTGCAATTGCATGAGAACCCATCTGGGACAAGTTCAGTTGGTTATGAGTTTTCCACTATATGTATATCTGGCATATGCACTCTGCAAACTGATGAAGTCACAGATCAAAAAGGACAAAACAGAAAGCCAACAAACCTGATCACGAGTGTACGGGAACGTCAAGATCTGTTACTTTCTCACCATGCTGCATCATACCTGATGCACACACCCTAGATCATTTTGTGCCAGCACTACCATATAGATTTCCTGTGGGAAGAAACTGTAGCTGAAGAATCATCCCTTCTTGGAGGGTGGACAAGTCTCAAAGGCTTGACAGCTGATTGTAAGAGGGATGAGTCTCAGGGGGTTCAAGGCATCTGAAATGCAGACCCAGCTCTAAGCAGGCTTCTAACCCTTGGGAATCCCAAGATATTGCAAACTCACAGGAGTAACTGACTTTGTGAGCTGTGGTTTGTTATTGAGACTGAAACTGGAAAATGTGATGACTTACTTCTATTATGCACAAAGTGTGTCCCTCAGAGTGAGACCTACCCAAAAGCCTGACATCCTCCTCCCTCTTCTGCATTTGGGAATGAAGCCAGAGCCCTGCTGCCTCCCAGCTCCAAGGGCTGTATGCTGCTGCTCTTCCAACCCAAAGCACTCAGCCTGTCCTTTGGGCACAAGTGAGAACTAAATGGGAGCTTTTGATGCTCAGGACTTGTCCTGTGTGCCAGGTCTCTGGCAGCCCTGGGTGGCCACTGGTCAGCAAGAAGCTTTTGATCTTGTTTAGATCACTTCTTAAAGACAGACATTTTGAGAAGAGGGCTGATGGAGAGCTAGCCCTGGCATCTGTACCCTTGCTGCTTTTCCAGCAGAGCCACAAGAATGTCCAACTGTGTGATGTTCATAGGCCTCAACAGCTGGGAACTGCAGGATAGATGAGCCCTGTCAGCTTTGAATATAAATGCAAAACCAGAAAACATTGTAGACGAAGCCAGGCTGATGCTAAAGCACAGCAGCAGGTTATCTGCATTATGAACTTGTCTAAAACAGTGTCAATGATAAAATCAAGGTCTCTGCTTCCCTACAAAAGAGAAGAAAACTGAGAAACTGCGTTAAACATTATAACCCAAGTGGGTCACAAGGTCTGGGAGCAGGCTGATGTGGAAAGCTAAACTATACCCACTAGAAATACATATTATACACGAGTGAGTTAAACACAGCTTTGATAGGACAAGGGGGAATGGTTTTAAACTGAGACAGGGGAGGTTTAGGTTGGATATTAGGAGGAAGTTTTTCACCCAGAGGATGGTGAGGCACTGGAACAGGTTGCCCAAGGAGGCTGTGGATGCCCCATCCCTGCAGGCATTCAAGGCCAGGCTGGATGTGGCTCTGGGCAGCCTGGTCTGCTGGTTGGTGACCCCACACATAGCAGGGGGTTGGAACTGGATGAGGATTGTGGTCCATTTCAACTCAGGCCATTCTATGACTCTATGATTCTATGAAGTGTTCATACAACAACAAAAAAGTGTTTGGTATTGAATTCAATGTAGTGGGAAGGTGCAGCTTGCTACAGTTCTAGGAAAGAAGATCCATAGTGGGTTAATTTCATCTTAAACAGATCACTATTAATCCAGACCCTCTCTCTCAGGGTGCCCTAATACAAGATCTTGTTCTTAGAGCTGCCCAGTATCCTGCCCAAATCTCCAGCTCAGTCCAAGCCCTACCAGGACCAGAACAGACCCCACCACTCTTTGAAACCCAGCAGGAGGAGAGAGGAAAACATCACTAGCAAGGCTCTGGGGAAACAGCCACTTGAATTCCAGCTCAGCTGTAAATGAATTGCCTCCAGCTAAAACCACCCTGCAATATGCTCCAGCTGCAAGCCTGTGCAAGGGTAATGAGAAGAGGGTGCGACTTGTGCTAGCTTGCATTGATCTGGCCTCATGCAGGCAAACCAGAAGCACATGATAGGAAAAAAACTGCCTTTTTGCTGGGCTTCCTCTGTGTGGTTCAGTTGTCAGGACTAACAGTTGCTGCCCCAGACTTGTGGAGATGACAGGGATGGGCACACAGTGGGACCACCTGCACTGCTGTGAATCAGGTGCTGGGAGAGAGCATCAGGGCTCCTCATTCCAGACATGAGGACAGTTCAGGCTTTGTGCATGGCAAGAAAATCAGAGGAGTAGGGGCATTGCTGTCCTGCCCTCAAAAGAGGGCATTTCAGCATTGCTGTGCAGAATTTCTGCCAAACACTGATAGCAGACAGCATGCTGCAGGATCAGGAGCTGGTTCATAGACAGTGCAAAAAGAGCACCCATTAATTCAACTTACTTTTTACTAAGTTTTATTTTTAGTGCTTGCGAGCAGCGTCAGATTGGCAGCATTATAAATAGAAGACTTCTATTTATCCTACAGTCTGGGTAGCACAGCGCTAAGTCAGTTTTGTGACCTCAATAAATCCAGATTTGGTGCTCTCAGGGATGTGTCACTATAGAAATAACATTTCCTTCTCTCATTCATATGCATGGCCAGGGGGATGGATTATGCCAAGAGGGGGTGCTGGCCTTGTAAGCCAGTCTGATGCTGTTTGATCTGTCTTGATGTGATACAGACATTGCAACAAGATCCAGTTGCAGATCTCCAAGTTCTCCTCAAGAGGTGGTTACCTGCCATACCCACACAGCATCACAGTGGCCCTGAATGATGGCCAGCTCTGTGCATCTGATGAAATTGCTGTGTCCTTGTCCACATCAGCAGCACCTGGAGTGATAGAACACACAGGCTAAGTGAGACAACAGCTTGCTGCTCTGCAAAGGCTGGAAAAGAGACACAGCACGAGAAGGAAATCTATCTGGAAGCACAACCTATTTGTTTGAATGGCGTGGAGCTAAGATGTTGCTTTTCTACCAATGTGTGTAACTGTAAATAACTATTCACCCCAAGCCCCTGAAATCACTGAGTTCCCTACCTGGGAACCGACCTGTTTTCAGCATGAGTCACGCTTCTCTGATGGTTTCCACTGGGAACCCAGAGAGCACAGAGACCGGGAGCTGAATTGGATGAATTACAGCAGCTGTTGGTTTCTGATCATTTCATTTTCAGTGAGATTTTTATAGTTTCAAAAGCTGGAAGTCTGGATTAGTACAAGCTGCTTGGCTCAGATGCAACGTTTTATCTTTGGGAGAACTGCAATGTAAGCCGCTGCACTGCCCTGCAGCAAACATCTGCCTGAGCTGCTGAATGAGCTGCTTCATTCAGACTTCCCTTCTCCTCCACATTTGGCATAGAAGGGGAGGGCAGGCAATTGGGAACAGGGTGTTTCAGGCTTATTGGAGCCCACAAAAGCATGAGAAGATGGTTATGGAGTGGAGCAATCCTTACCGATGTGCTCTGATACCCTTAGTGCCTGGGTCTAGAACTGATGCTGGAGAAGACCAAAGGCTGATCTTCTGCTGGCCTTCCTGCTCAGGGGAATGGAAGCAAAATGAGACAGCGTGTGGGGAGAAGGAAAAGTAAAACAGAAAGAAAAATAGTGCACAGCAAGATGAGAAAAAATAAGACAAGCCTTGGTTGGGAATGTACATTTTCTGCTAAACATTGCTGTCTGATTTTAGAGTTATCATCCTTGGCACTAAACCCACCACGGAGTCATCACAGAGTTGCAAATGCAGCCTGCTCCACTAAATGAGGACTTCAGCTAGCATCCCAATATTCACAAATGGCACTATATAGCTCAAATGCCAGGCTGGGATGAGATTTCATTATGACTGCTGTAAGGCACAAAAGACATTGGAGCTCCCTGGCAAATGATGATCCCATTTCATGGCAGCTCTTGAGATTTCAAATGAGTTTCCGCTGCCTGAAATGAAAGCTGCATCTTTTGGATGTTTGCAAAAAAAAAAAAATAAAAAAAAATGGAATTCTGTTGAAATGCCCTACTTTGGGATTCAAATCTAAATCCTTTTCAAGAAAGGAAGGACAGGGACGTGGTACTGCCTGTAACTCAGCTCTGCTGCCCTGGAGGCACAGCAGTGTGCTACCCCAGGAGGGTCTCTGCTTCCTTCCCCAAGGCAATGAGTCCCCCAGCCCTGCAGGAGCACAGCTCCCAGCACACATCAGGGTGCTCCAGAGAGGAGCAAACAGGCTGGAAAGCCGACAGTGAGAAGCTAGCTGATCAGCTTTGCTTTGCTTGGGTCTCTTCAGAACCTGCCAGCTGAGCTAGACAGAAGGCTGTTTTCCTATTTATTTAATAATTAAAGTGAAGCTCCCCTCCTCACTTCCCCCAGTTTACCAAATGAGGTTACAACATTCAGCTGTTTGCCTGAGGATTTATGCCATGCTGCTCGCTGCAGTATCAGAGCCTACATAGAGTCAAGAGAGGATGGAAGGCCTTGCTGAAAGAGATGAGCTGTATGCATTCACCAGCTGCACATGATGCTAAAACAAGCTGCTCGCAGGAAGTCAGCCATTTTCCTTCTGCTGCATGGCATGGAGCCTCTGTGATTCAGCTCAGGATTCCTTAATACACTCCAAAGTCTAGACAGAGGCTTCTGCACCTCCTGTCCTTCATCTCTAGGGCTGAGGACTGAACATCTGGAGGTGTTCCAGAATGATGGAGATGTGGCACTGAGGGATGTGGTCAGTGGGCATGGGGGGCTGGGCTGGGTTGGACCTGGGGATCTGAGAGGTCTTTTCCAACCTGAGGGATTCAATGATCTCTTGGCATGTAGTGCTGCTTGGACTTGTATTAAGGATGGCGCTTGCTGTGACCCACTTGAAGATGTACACTAGACTTACACAGCCCTGCAGCATGGTCCAGAGACAGGAACAGGTCCAAATTAGGGCATCATTAGAAAGCACTGCATGGTTCAGCCTGAAAGATTTCTTTCATGGAGTCTTAGGCTTGATAGACATTTGCCAAGGCAAGGAAAGACATCCCGCAGTGTCTTTAGGAACACTGCACCGTAAGTGTCTATTTCAGTCAACAGCATCTTGATCCAGCTTATTCTATAGAGCCCTGGAAAAGTCTCAAGTGCACTTTCTCCCCGTACTGAGCCAAATCCTCTGAGCCATGAGATGCAACACAACAGCAGTCGCTTCTAGGGTTGCAATTTAAAGAAAAAGGAATATGGGAACCATACTTGCTTTCTGATTTCTGATCCTTGAATGCGTCACATCTAATGGGATTGAAGACACTGCTGGACTGTGACCTACACCCCACACTGAGCACTTGTAAATCCTTCCTCCAAAAATACCGGTGCATGAGTTCATGCTCTGTCCCTGGCCACATCCAGAGCCTCAGAGAGGTGAGACACTTCCAGCCCTGCTGTGCCCCTGGCACTAAGGCACGATGGCAATGGGTTTGGGGCAGGACTGCCTGCTAGGTACTCTCAAACAGCAAAATGGGGTTTCCTGAAATCAGTGGCTTTGTCCCCTCCCAGTTCCATCCTTTAGCCGGAGTCCGTCAAGAGCAGCCTCTTAACTGAATTCAAGCAACCCTGAAAGTGCAGTTTATATATTTCTAGATCATTAAGCCTTCTCCTAGCGACAGCATTTGAAAGGCATGCTGATGCTTTATCCCCAGCCCCCTCCCTCCCTCCTTTTTCTGCTTTTGGCTCTTGAAATTAAAAGATAAGCTTTGTAAATCTCGCAGAGAAGAGGGAACTGTCACTTCAGCTTTAGAAGACAAGCCAGTAAAGAAACAAAATTCCTCTTTTGGCAGAGGAGAAAAATCCATTAATAAAGGCTTAGAAACAAAAGTTCTCAACACAATTAAAGGCAAACCTAAGCCTTTGAAAGCAGAGGGCATGACACTGCAATACACAGAAGTGATAGAGATGAAAGCCTCCATTGTAGCACTGTTGAAAAAGTAAAGAAAGTATCAATGGATGCATTTGCCTAAACCAAACTAGATGAGAAGCTTTCTAGAGAAGGGCTGGAGCCTTCCCATGTGTTTGCACAATACCAAGAGCTGCTGGGCTCAGTCTTAATTAGGATCCTGGGGCATTACTAGAATAAGTCAGGGAAGGAAGGGTCACAGCAGTCATTATTGGGGAAAAAAAACACACAACACAGGGCTCCAACATTTTCTATGGAAAATTTTCCACCTGGGAAAACTAATTTTTCTTTCCAGCTTGTTGAACTAAAGCAAAAACAATTAGCATTGTCAAGGCATTTGTTCTGCAGGAAAGCTTGCTGAGGACGTGGTGCAGCTCTCTGGGTGCAGGCTTTCAGCAGAGGGCTGAATCTATGGCCACCTCCAGAAAGCAGTGAGAAGAGCAGGACTGCTCTCACAGTGTCAGAGCATAGAGCCCATACATATCCCATATCCCAGGACTGGGATGTAAGAAACAAAACTGCTGTTGGGATGCTTTCCTCTTAGGAGGCAATAAGAGCTGCCCCATGTGGTTCAACCATGTGCCTCCATCAAGTGGCACCTTGAACCAGACCCTCATTGTAAGATGTGGGTAAGCAGTGGGTAAATGTCAGATCCCTCTCACTACTGTTATGGAAGTCTTTGCTGGTAAGGATGGCCACCACCACTCAGCAAAATGCTGGCTTTGCTGCCCATCCTATACTGCAACAGCCCAAAGCCAGGTCTGGCTTGACCCCAAATAGCTGCACCATACTGGGAATGTGTTTCCCTCCTGAGAACTCTAAGCACATGAAAAGGAGCATGAAATTCCCCCCCCCCAGTGATCAATTAGAATGAGTGTTAATGCAATAAACAACCTGTGATGACTTCTGCTATGTGATGTTCCCTGTGCTCTGAAGGGCGCTGACATGGGCTGTATGGCTCTCTGGGGATGCTGTTACACAAGGGGAAGCTGTTTTCCCTGCCTAGTGTGTCAACGTGGCCAGTCTGTATTCTCATCAGAGATTCTCAAATTAGTGCTAGTTTTAATTTAGGGCTCTGTAAGAAGGGCAAATGATTCTTTATAGCAAAAGTCATCTTCCTTGTGAGGTTAGAGGTAGAGACTGCATGCTAAGGATGG